GCGCTGCTCTGGCCGCTCCATCCCCTTCTGAAGGTGGGCCGTCCACAGACCGTGGGCCCTGGGCGGGCAAATGCCCACCTTGACCTCTGAATAAAACGGCGCTGCACCCCAGTGAGGAAGAGTTCTGTCCAACGGAGAAGCTGGCCTCGCTTGTCAATTTACGGATAGCCCTAAGAAAGGTAGTGCCCACACCGGAGTCTGGATTTGGTTTCATTTTGGCGCTGGAAACAGTGATTCTCAAGCGGACCCTTTTGTAGCGCCGGTTTGCCGCCGCCGCCGCCCGCCCCCCCCTCCCCAAACGCACACAAGATTTTGCTCTTGGGGCTGGAAACAGACCTTTGCAGGAAACCTGCGGTTCGCCTTCGACTGCTCCTGGTGGCCCAACAACCAGAGTGACGCCAGGCAGTCGCACGCCCAGAAAACGGGGCCACAGGTGGATCGAGCCCCACTCACCCCTTGCAAGGAAGACGTGAGCAGGCCAGGGCCGAGGCAACTTGGGAGCCCCCCCCCCCAGCCCTGGTCGCCTGGCGACCTCCTTGCGCCTGGAAGGTGAGAGTCAGCGGCTCCAGGCGGATGGAGCTGGGGAGGATTCTGCCACCCCCTCCCTTTCCCCGCAGGGCTTCTTGGCAAGGTCTGCAAGGGGCGTGATTTTAGACTGCAGTGGGGCTCCCCGAAAATGGATCGATAAAAGCTGCCTGGTATTCAAACCGGTTGATTCCATGCGTGCAGCTTTCCTGTAGGAAGAATGGAGCGTGGACTGCTGAGAGAAGCCAACAGACATTTTATTCATGAAAACATGGCCCAGACCTCCTACCAAGGTCTGCTAAATAAGCAATTTTATACAAGCAGGTCAGAGGTTACACCACAGTAAGAGGTTTCTCATTGGCAGAAATCCACTGCCAAATTTGCAGCTGGGTTGTTGGTACAATTGGAAGTAAAGTGCATCAGGGAGGAGCAGTCCCAAACAGTGGGGTCCAGGGGGAACAGCTGGCCACCCTTGCTCTCCTCCCGAAGGATGACCTTGGGGAGTGGGTTTTGGATACACACCCGCTCTGTCACCCACAACCACAAAATGAGTGCGAGCAAAACACCAAGGACATTTGACCTTCCGCTCTCTGCCCACCCAGGCCACAAGGGAGGTTCTTGTCCCCCCCCCCTTCTCCCGATCTTAATTCTTTTAATATACACAATTTAAAGTACACAGACAGAGACACCCATGCTGCAATGAAACATTGAGAGAGTACGAACTAAGATAACATGGCAGGAGACTGCTTTGCCTTCATCCCACCCTGGAAGATTCCCCATGAAAACTTTTGTGCTCAATGCCAGCAAGAACTGAAAGGCAAAACCTTGCCCTGTTTTCTAGCAATGTTGGTAAGACTTATATATTTTTCTTCTTCTGCCCCTCTCCACTCCACAGCTTGCATCTTCTTAGGGAGGAATGAGAGAGCATTGTCAGGAGGGAATGCTGCTTCTCTATCATAGCAGGCTTAACTCATCAGCGCTTCTGCAGGCGGAAGAAAGAAAGAAAGAAAGGAGACAGACAAATCCATAAGTAAGGGAGAAATCTTGCCGGGCTCCAGTACAGCCTCAGATACAGAATCAAAACTGTATCCGTTCCTTTACATGTACACAGCAAGTACACAGGCCCCGATTCTTCCTGGCACTGCCGCACCTCACCTTTTTTAGTCTTCATGTAGAGGGTGAGTCCAGGTGCCAGAAAGACCAGCCCCAGCACAAATCCTGCCACTCCTGTCCACATCTTACTCCTGGAGGAATCCGGTTCTGCAGGAAAACAGGACATCTCAATGTCCACCACCCACCATGAGTCCTTTGCCTCCAGCTCCCCAGGACAATGGGGAGAGGAAGAGGGTGGGTGGGAAATACAGATGGACCTCAGATTTCACTCTCACCCCACTGGATGGTGACGGGCTCTGGGAAGCTGGCGTGCTCCACCTGGCAGGTGTAGACGTCTCCATGTTCCAGCTGAGTTTCCAGCATCACCTGGATCTGGAAGGTCCAATCTCCATTTCGGGTCAGATCCGTGTGGAACACTTTGGCCTCGTCTTCCTCCTCCCCGTTTCTGAACCAGGTGATTTTGATGGCTGAAGGCCAGAATCCGGCCACGTTGCAGATCAGCAAATTATGGAGGGAAGGGGAGGAGAAAGTGGGGGTGATCTTCACCTTGGGCTGAACTGGAGGGAGATCAAAAAGGACAGGAGAAAGTTCAGGACCTCAAAGTACACATGTGTGTGTGTGTATGTGTAACACAACCATTTCGAAGGAGGGAGAGTGAGCCCATGTCACTCACCACCAGCCCCAGTCTGTCACACTGCCCTACAGCCACCCTACATCGCCCACTGACCCCCATTCTTCTCCTGGTGGTCCACATGAGAAGCTCAGGCAACACTGATTTCTATCCCATTTTTCTTCTTCGTTCAGCTCCCAACACTGCCTAAGAGCGACAGTGGCAGAGGTGGACATTTGGACAGATAGGGACTCCTCATGATGATCAGACACCCCCTCCCAATAAGTCCCAAAATTACTGTTGTAAATTTTGAATACAGACAAATTAAATTAAATTTGGTTGAGGGATAGAGGGAGCCGAGTTAGGAAGTCTCCTTCCTGAAGAGAGTAGAACAGCGGCCGGTGCTTCCTGTGAACCTTTCAATCCACCAAGCCAATAAAAAGATAAAGCCAGCTCTCCATTCCAGAATGACCCTATTTGGCATCCGTAGGGAGAGATGCTAGAGAGGGGATACTCCAAAAGAATCTCCCAACACCATTGAGATAAAAAAATTGAGGAGCAGGTCTTTTGTACAGCCAATGGCTCTTCATTGCCCTCTCGGGAGAACCCACCCTCAGATATTTTGCATGGCCCCAGGGGAGAGCTAGCGAGGAAGACCCAGTTCCTGGCCACGTCTCTCCCAGGTCCAGCTGGAGTTCAGCTCTGAAGGAACTAAGGTCTCTAGATAACGTATATTCCAGACTCGCCTTTGCGCTCTTTGAGGAAACCCTCTACTTCTGCGTAGCTGAACCGGCAGATGGTGTCCACTTCTCTCCGCTTGTACTCGAGGAGTTCCTTCTGCTTGTTCAAGCAGGCGGCGTCGATCTCCCCGAGCGGCGTGACGGCCACGAACTGGCCGCGGTCGCTGTCGAAGTGGAAGGTCTCCTGCCGGCCGTAGATGTAGCGGTCCAGGTAGCGCACCCGCTGCGTCCCGTTGTGATAGTGGCACTCATGCTTCTCCTGAAAGATGAAGTGCTCTGCGGGGAAGTGGGGTGGGGGTGGGGGAGAAAAGGGGGTCCCTGAGACCTCATTGGGGGTGAAGGTGTGTGGAGGCAATGAAAGTGATATGGGAGGGTGCCCCCTTTTTCAAACCAGGGCTGAGGAGGGCTCCAAGTGCCTATGCGGGGCAGGGGAGGGGGGTACCGAGCGACCTCGGTGCCCTCTGCCAGAGCGGCAAGAGAGACCCCCTTCTAGGATGGGGGTCAGACTCGATGACCTCCAGGGCCTCCTGCAGGACGGTCCCTTTTGAAATCAATGGTGCCAAGAGGAGGCAGGGGCCGGGTCAGGAGGTGAGGAGAAGATGGGTGGCGGGTTGGGGTTGATCCTCTAACAGGGCCTGATCCAGTCCCTAGAAGCGGATGGGGGCACATCCTCTTCCCCCACCCCGGGCTGTATTGGCTCACCTCGGGGCTGCCTTGCGCTCTCCACCTCCGGGAGTAAGATCAGGACTACAAAGCCCATACTCACAACCCTGACCCCGAAATTCAGCGCAGGCGCCATGACGTCCTGGGAAAAGACAGACTCCCGCTTTGGGTCCCCAAATCTCGAATGGGGCTTTCTGGGCTGAGCACTTTAGTGAAAAGGGGCTCACTGTAGCCCCGCCCCCCCGCCCCCCCCTGCGACCG